AAATTTGTTGCAGCAGCTATGGTTAATCTTATCTTCTCCCTGCGCCTTCCTTGAATTGGATGGTGATTGAACCGGCTTTTCTCCACCGACATTCTGGGTTCCTTGTGATTGTCGCTACCAGGTATCCCTGCTTACCTCCCTTGACTGCGCCTGTCAACCTGAATAAATAAGTTACGTACCCGGGCAATTGATTTACATCAGCCAATCAGATGAATGTCTCACTATGAAACCCATGTATATTAATTTTTCATTTGATAATTTGCTTGCCTTTAACGTTAAGCTAAAAACTTCAATCACTTTATATAGAATAAAGGTCAACAACGCGTAGCTACGTACAGTACATACTATTCTTTGCGCATTATTCCTATGCGAAGAGATTGAAAATTCTATATCCCCTTATTGATATTGATAATTAAAGAACTTTCAATAAATAAATGCGTCACTAGTTATGCCTTTATCTCTATATGGAAAGATTGGGATTTTTTAAATTTCCTACACCGATAATCTTTTTTTTTTAAAGCCTTTTTCTAATTTTTGGAACAGAGTCGGTGCGTATGACAGTGATTATTTTCTCGACAATAATAATATTACAGCTATTATCACAAATCCTGGGACAACTAAGAAATTGCTGATGATGAATTGATAAGATTCTGATTGATGTCGGTCGAAGTCAGCAACTTATTGATTCTGGCTCGGTAACTCAGTTATTGGCAATTTTTTTTAATTGTTTCAAGATTTAGGTAATATTATGTTTTGATAAAAGGATTATATTTTTATGCCTAATGTATTTGTATTGTAGGTTAACAATAGACTTGTCCGTTTCAGTAGATAAAATTTTCAAACAGTTTAACTTTTATATTTCTAGTAATAAGGTAAAATGCAAAATACTACTATCAATGAAATTTATTTATAAATATATAAAAGTAAACTGAAATGAATTTACAAATTCAAGCTTTATTTAAATATGCCTTTTTGCTTTGAAAATGCCACGAACGGTAACATTCGGGTATCTGTTAGGGCTGGGCCTGGAGGAAGCGAAGCATTTTACTTGATTGAACCAGGCAATTATGAAACTTGGGCCAGAAGTCAAGACGTTTTAATAACTTTTCGAATCGGACACGAAAGTTGGACACGTCAATATTCTCCAATTCCAGACGGAGTTAATGCGTATTATAAAGTTTGCGGATTTAACGATATTGTATACAAACAAGGCAAACCACAGGGAGAGCACAAACCACTAGCCGTTGATGGGTGATATGTTATAATGGAATTCGTGATATATATAAAAAAAGTTGGTTTTTTTCTCTTAATATAAATGCTTATTATTATTATTATTATTTTCTATCTTTTATATATACTGTTGAACCTCTCAAAACCGATCCTGTCAAAATCGATAACCTGTCAAATCTGAAAAAAAATTAATCTACCAAG